TTAAACAGCTAAAAAGTAAAGCATTATCTACATTTCCATTTTAAGAATGATAATGACACTCAACTATACTACCCCAGTGGCAGGAAGCTGGGACGTAGGGCTCCTGTGCAGGTTGGGTGACCAGGGGAGTTGTGCTCAGAGAGGTGGAAAACAACGGAACCTGGCAGCATAAGATGAAAAAACAACCACAGTAGAAACAATCTTGCTCCAAACACAGCTGATCCATGATGGGTGACTGTGCCTTCTCAGACATTCCAAGGCCAAGTGGACCCAATCCCAGTCCTCTGTCATTCTGTTAGTTTCTAGAAAATACCAGCAATATGCTCTTGAGACTCCTGATGATATTTAATGAGGTGATGAGGTCCCAAACTGAAACAGGCTTCAAGTGTAACAGCTGTTTTTCCTCAGTCCCTTAGGAAAGGAGGGGAAACAAAGACTACAAAAGTCAAGAGCTTTAGTCTCCCAAGTAAAAACTCAAGTCATAAAAGGATGTCATTGAACTGAGCGAGGTAGTGACTCGGGAGGTGCAGGCAGGCAGATCTCTGTGAGTCTAAGGCCAGCCTAGTCTAGGAATGTAGGTCAGTGGTAAAGCACTTGTTTGGCATGTGTGAGGCCCTATGTTCAATCCCTAGTAATGGATGAAAAAAAACCCATAAACATTATGCTTTGAGAAATAAGTAATAATACAAACAGAAAGTCAGTCCTAGCTATCAGTACACACCAGAAACACACTCACAGAGTAGGTTAAAAGTGTAATCTTCGACTTCAAAACAGGCTAAAGGACATTTAGAAATGAAACAAAGTATGAAACACCATAAGCCATAATTTAAAAAAAAAATCAAATTAGGAAACAAACCCCAAGAACTATAAACAAATGGAACCCATCCCAGAATCACTAAACTAGGAGAAAGAACACCTGAAATAAAAGAGATAAAAGTAGGTCGGGCCGTGGTGGCGCACACCTTTAGTCTCAGTGCTCGGGAGGCTGAGGTAGGCAGATCTCTGTGAGTTCAAGGCCAGCCTAGTCTACACAATGAGTTCCAGGCCAGCTGGGGCTACAGGGAAACTCTGTCTCAAAAAGACCAAAAAAAAAATAATAATTTTTTT